TAAAAAAAAAAAAAAAACCTTAATATAAACAAGCATTAGTACAATGATTCAGGAAACGACTAATTAGCATTTGTACAAAAATGGTGCAATGAAGCTTTCCACGTAAAAGCCCATGCAAAATTGTTCTAAATGTAGATAAGGTAACTTCTCCCCTTTTTCTTTTTTGATTTGATGACATAACAGGAGAGAATTGTAGTCAACAACAATACCAGTCACAGTCCACTTGAAATATTGATGCTGGTTATTCAATGTAAATGTAAAGAAATAATTTGAAAAAAAATAATTAAAATTTAAAATAATGCCAAGGAAGAAAATCTCTGACCAAATTTTCTTTGGCGTAGAGGAAATGATGAATATGTACCATTTGTCCTCAAATAGTATAAATGCAACGATGCATATGTATTAGTTGTCCCAAATAGTGTAAATGTGCTGTGCAGAGGAATCTGCAATAAATTAATTTTGGTTTTCACATCAGAAGTTGAGTTGGGGACGAATTGAAGAGTCTTGTTCGAGTTCCAAGGTTGGTAGTTGAGGAGTTGAGGATGCCCGCATTCTCCTATCGCATGTTGTATCCCAACCCCACGTTGTACTAACCAAGCTCAGGTTGAATTCAAATTTCAATTAATAACGTACTGTAATAAAGCTTAAAACAAAGTTTATGGGATGAACCGTTCTATTATCAACATTGCACTGAGTTGGACCTCAACCAAGAGACAAGGTCACCGAGATAGACAGACAGATAATTAATTATAAACGTCTCTAGCAAGTGATGATATAATTAATTCCTAAGAGTGCTTACGCCATTATATATGTACATGCTAACAAACTTCTCTAACATCTCCATATATAACTTCTAAGTTCTAAATACTTGAGCTTTGGAATATCTATCAAGATAAACAAACAAAACAAAAAAAAAAAAATGAAAAAAGGATAATCAGCCATGCGGTAGCTTGCACACCATCATTCTAGCTAAGAGCAAATATAGTGTGTGTATATGGTGTACATTACCCAGAGCAAGTGAATAAGTTGGCAAAGAATTCTTTCAATTTAATCAAAGGTGTTAGTTTTAAATTTTGAAACTACAATTCTATTAAAATTTATGAGAGAAAACTTTGTCATCCGTTGATTCCTGTTCAACTTGAATCCAAATTTAAGCAATAACTCAGTAAATTTTCGAATACCAAATGATTCATATAAAAAAATATATATATGATGTACATTTTATGATACGTTTGAAGTTGTCAGTTGTCAGGTTCTTAAGCTCATGCAAATGCTTTCCTTAGATGCAGATACATACAGTTATTTCTTCCCTTCTAGTACGTACTTACCCTTTTCCATTTTTGCTTCCCCTTCGAGTACTTTCTCAAAACTCACCCTTTTCCATTTTTGGTTAGAGGACAGGAGAATTAAACTCTCTCACACATCAACTATCAACATAAATTTTTATTTAATGTACTTGTACTATAGTACATACATACTAGTAGTAAGTAATTATTATTATTTTTTGAACAAATTCACAAGAGTTGGATTCGAACAGTTATATTTGAAAAAGAAAAAATGTATTTATATGTGATTTGATGTCACTGAACCCGAAGTTCAAGTGCAAGTAATTACTACTTTTGTTTGAAAATATAAGTAGTTTGACATTGTTGTGTATAATTGTAACTTAGAAATACTATTTTATAATATATGAATAATAATAAAATTTTTTTATAAAAAATTAATTATATATCATTAATATACTATAAAAATATATAGCTTGGAAATAAGTAAAAAGAAAGTGGAACCAACTTATATAATTTAAAAGCGTGGGGGCGCAAATATCTTTGACTGCAGATATATAATTAATATTCGTTGTCTATGGTACATTGGAAATCTGCACATTTTGTTCCTCATGCCAAAGCTGGGGATGAATTGCCCTCTGCACTGCACCTCGCCCTCCGTACGGCTTGGTATCAAAAACTTGCATTCATGCGTTGTCTTGTTCTATTGGCCGGGGTTTCACTTCTACAGTCCTACTCCTAGCTGTTCCCTCTCGTGCAGGTGGCGCTTTCAAACTCAACTTCTCCCAACTCCTCTCTCCCATGTTTCATTACTTTCTTTTCTATTTTGATAAATACTAGCAGTAGTATTTTTAGCCCTCAGATCAACTTATTTAGCCTATGATCGATATTGAATGGGAGTGCCAAAATTTACACAGATAGATGTTTATGTGAATAATATTTTTTTCAAGAAAAGAACCACGAGGTCCGCAACCTTTGTTTCTCTTGTGTACACTCATGTATAACACTTAAACTAGTTCTTTTGAATAATGATGCCAAAACAAAATAATTAATTCATTTTTCTGTAACTAATTAATTAACCCAACCCATTAATGAAAAATTTTTGGGAAGCATCATTGCTGTTCAAAGCATTGTAATGGACTGAAGGAGTACGTACTACTAGTGCATCAGCTAACTCCACTAGATCTATAATGGCCATTTAAGAGCTGCAGCCTGCAATTTTATAGGCACCAGTCATCACCAATAACTTAAGCTAGCAAGCTAGTAAGTAGTAACAGACAACTCTTACAGAGTGTAACAAAAGCGTGGCACTAGAGAAAGATAATCCTGGAAAACTGTGGGGATTTTTTTGGTGAAAGAAAAGTGTACTTTTCGGGTTGTTGAGAATTAACTGGAGGACAATTATATATATATATGCTCCGCAAATTCTCACGTTTGAAAAGAATTAGATCCTGCACTAATCTCTAATTTCTATCATAAAAAATAAAGTTCTTAAAAGAACATTTTAAGAATTAATTAAAAACTTGAATTTTTTTATTAAAAATTTTAAATTTAAATTTTGAGACTAATGAAAGGATTTAAAACTTTTAAAAATAAAAAAACTATTCATTATTCTATAAACTACTATATAACCATAAAAAAATCAATAAACTACTATATAACCATAAAAAAATCAAATTTCTGAAAGAGGGTTCTTCCCTCCTACTCTTAAACTTGGGTTTTTTTTTTTTTTAATAGGATAGATCAACTTTATAAAATTTTTATCAATAAAAGAAATAAAAAAAATAAAAATTTAAATCTTAATCATACAAATGAAAAAGTATTATCTTACCAACTACTCTACAACTCGTTTTTTATTAGGTCTTGTTTGGCTGGTTATTCTATAACCTTTCTTAGCTACGGCTTAGCAGTTGAAGATGTACTCTAAATATCAAAATGTGTCGGTCTTTGAAGATAAGATAAATGGAAGTGAACTGTCTCCCGATTCCCATGTGTTCTACTTTTACAAGCCAATGTGATTTTTTCACCAATTTGTCTTCTATCGTACTAAGGTTCACTTTTCCAGATACTTCTACTTTCATGTGATTATAAACCACCAACCTGAATCTTAAATTAGTTACAAAATTTAGCTCTCGCTTTGTCTTCTGGTAATTTTCAACACCATAAAGGATGCTGAAAAAACAGAGATTTTGTAGCCCTCGCTTTGTCTTCTGATAATTTACAACACCATAAAGGATCGGAAAAGAGAGAGAGAGAGAGAGCGATTGGGAAAGTGAAGCACTTAATGTCTTTCTCCGCAGAGGGGATCAGTTCACCTCAAACCCTTGATACAAGCGAGTTTTCTCATGAGTTTGGACCCGGATTAACAAAATTTCTTTAACTAATCTAAATAAAAATTAAAATAAAAAGAAGAAATAATATTAATGTACTATGTACAACATGATGTAATTCAATAATGAAAAACATGCAATTTCATACAAAATTGTTAATCTTCTTGCTCCTTTCCGGTTTCAATGGACTCTGTCACCTCTTCTTTAATCTTATTGAAGGAGCATAGATCTGTTTTATCCTCCTGTTCCATTGGGGTTGTCCGCTTCAGCTTTTGAAGCTCATTATCTTTTTCTTCCAGCTTCTCCTGGTAGTAGTAGTGCCTGCAAGAACAAATCCTCTAATTATAAATATGTCACACTCATTCCGCCCGCAAAGGAATTGTTGGTATTCGAACACATTCAATTCCAGACCACTTCTACAGAATCGCGGGTGAAATGTATCAGAGCCCTGAGCCAATATGTTCTGCTTCAGTACTAAAGAGACCAAATAAAGAATTATCACAAAGTACAATTAGCAGTATGGACAGATATACTTGCATATGATCTTTCAACCAAATGGTAGATAAAATTCCTGATCATCCCTTGGTTTATTAACATTTGCAATGACATGGTAGTCAAATAAATCAATAAGACTGATTGTAATTGGGATTATCGTACTCAAAATGGCTGTTGAAGCGGTTGTTTTGAGGGGCAATTTATGAAAGCGTAGTTAATCCGGATGTGGTATTCAAAATCACTATTCAAGCTTTTTTTTTTTTAACAGAAAAATATAGTATTTATTAATATAATGGAGTACAAGAGGTACCCCAAACCCATAAATATCAAAACTTGAAAAGCATCATATTACATGGAATAGCCCTTCTGTTTAGTGTCGACCCCTGAATTAAGTGTCAACATCGTGTCTGTGTCGGAGTTTTGAATGCTTACTATATGGTGTTGATACCTATATTATGTATCGAGACTATACCCATGTCGGATTTCTATCCTCTTTTGCAGTTTCTTCATATGTCACTGTTTTAATCCTCAAAAACTTCCCACTTGTCAAACCCACTGGCAGGCAAAGTCATTGAGCATGCATTGACTAGAGCTTAAATAACCCAATATGTCAAGGACAACATTATAGTCAAATAACTGCTCAATGAAGCCTTCATGAATCCAATGTACTTTTCAAACAATTAACAGGATTAATTAGCCAACCCGTCAAATTGAAGGCATACATGTCCTTTGTTGCTTTAATCCATAGGAAGGATCTCATTTGGATGAGTTCGAATAGTTTCCCCAGATTTATCTCCTTATCCTCTTTGTTGTGAAAGATCTTCTGATTTCTAGCAATCCACATGGACCACACAATAGTTTTCCAAATACAATCCATGCCTTCTCTGATGTTTGATCCTTTGATGCCCTTCCCAATGAGTTGGAAAGTATTCCAGCAATCCCTATTCATCATGATGTTGGTCCCCCACCATTTTGAGCAAGCCATCCACACCCATCTTACAATTTTGCAGTTCAAGAACAAGTGAGTAGAATCCTTCTCTTCTTCTTCATTACATAGGGCACACTTAGCTTTTGTCATGTCTTTAATGACCCCTCTTCTTAGCAAATTAACCTTGGTTGGTATTCTATCTAGTAGTAATTGCCAATTGAAAGCTAAAATCTTACTAGGGAGACTGGGGTTCCATATCCTTTGGTAAGTCTTAGCTTCATTCACTTCCCCCTATTCCAATGTTAGAAAAGAATAAGCAGTTTTGGTTGAATATTGGCTTCTCTTGTCGTAAATCCACTCCCATCTGTCAGGGTCACCTTCCGATATTTTCTCATGTTCTATCATCTTTTGAAGTTCCATGACTTCGGCATCTTCCCACTCATACAAATTCCTTCTCCACTTTAAGTTCCATTTCCATAAGCCATTGCTAGCCTTGCCCATCTGATAGCACTTGTTCTCTTTACCTACTGATAACAAATATAATCTTGGAAACCTATTACACCTTTCCCCACACCAATGATCCCATCAAAAGCTAAGCCTTTTCCTTCCCCCATCCTTATTCTAACACCCTCTGTCAACCACCATCCTCTCTCCCCATCCAAAGAATCAAGACAACACACATCCCTCCACCAAATTGAGCCAACTCCTCTATTCCCTTTAACCCAATCTAGCCAGTGATTTTCTCCCTCACCATATCTTTCCTTAACTACATTCTTCCATAATCCCTCTTTGATTTTTGCCAACCGTCCCCACCATTTGCCCATAAGAGCCAAATTAAACTTCCTCAAGTCCTTCACTCCTAGCCCTCCTTCCTCTTTTTTGTCACATATCTTCTCCCATTTAACCCAATTGATCTTTCTCTCATCTCCCCCTCCACCCCATAAAAAAATTTTGCGAATTTTATCAATAGAAAGAAGAATACCTTTCGAGATTAACTAGATGGACATCAGGAACACAAGTAGACTAGACAACACTGAATTGATTAGCATGATGCAACCTCCAAAAGACAGATGCCTACCCTTCCAGCTAGCAAGCTTCTTTTTGAAGGATTAACCATTAGATCCCACATTGCTGTTCTTCTATGATTCCCTCCAAAAGGAATTCCTAGATATTTAAATGGGAAAACTCCTTGTGTACAACACAACCTATAAGCCATTTTTGCTGTCCAATTTTCTTCAACTCCCACCCCCATTAGCTGACTTGTTGTGAAGTTAATCTTTAGTCCTGAAGCCAACTCAAAGGTTCTCATAATCCCTTTGACCACCCTTATGTTTTCCTCAGATGCCTCCCCAAAGAATAGAGTGTCGTCAACAAATTGTAAGTGTGTGATCAGTATATTTCCATTACCCATCGTGACACCCTTATATAGTTCCTTTTCCACTGTTCAAGCTATTATTTTTGAAAGGCAATTTATGAGAGCATAATCTAATAAATATTGCAGTAACATGGAATAAAAAAGCCCTAAATCATGCGCCCAAGATCAAAGGGCTTTCTTTTAACATTCCGTTCCAGCCTAACCAAAAAATAAATGAATAAATAAATAAATATTGAGATTGAGAGGGAGCGACAAGAAGATAGAGAAACCGTTTCATTAGATCTTTCCAAATCATTTGCTAATCCCTCCATATTTTTGTATAATGCTGCACGAAAATTACATAAAAATTATCAGAATTGTATAAATGAGAGATCTTCAAACCATGTTTACCTTGAAATTAAAATATTGTGAAAGGACTTCTTCTAGTTGATACTTGAGACAGATGGCGAGCTTGCTCGAGGATGGCCTTGTTTTTATGGTTGGACATTTAGTGTCCATGAGAGATGCTACTTTGTCCTCCCATCATAAATACAATAGAGATAATTCATAAATTCTTGGATAAATATTTGACAATGAACAATAAACTTGTTAACAACTTAGAATGGAATTTTCTCACCCTCAACCATAATTACTTCATTAGACATTCCCCTCACCTCTCCCCCCCCCCCCCAAATGCAAATGTAAGTACTACTTGCAGAACAACAACGTTACGATGAGGTCAGGAATAAAGCTGCAACATAAGACCAACCCTCAAATCCCCTTAGTTCTACATTTTGTGAATTTTGTAAAGCAAGTCTCATAGCTAATTCATGAATTTGCAAATTAGCAAACAGTTCAACAAAAATTATATCAACAACTTCCACATGATGCTTATAAGAGTCTTGTATGATGTTTAAAGGAATAAGTGCAAGAAAGCAAAGATAATTTTAAAACTTTCATCCAGTCATGGATATTTGTTATTTATACTCAATCCAACTAATAGTCCCAACTATTGGGATTAGGCCCAACACCCACTTCGAGCCACATGCAACAGCCCAATTATACACCCACTGGCCCAGGATGAGGAGACATGCCCACGTGGGCAATAACACGTGGACCAATCGGGTGAATACATGTTTGAGCTCATGTCGGCACTGGGGGCTATAAATACCCCCCAACTACCTCCATGCAAGGCATTAACTCTTCTACGTCTCTCTCTCTGCAATTACTCTTTAACAGCCTCTCTCTCTAGAATATTAAGTATTACTGACTTGAGCGTTGGAGTGTTTTTCCCGAAGAAACATCCTCGGGAATTTCAGGTGTGGAAGTAGTTGAAGACTTCAACAGCGTTGGATCGTGAAGCTGCCCAAACACCAACATTGTAAATTCATACTCAACAGTAAAAGACATGTCTAATCTATTTAACAAATTTGGGATGCCCACAGTCAAATATTCGGGATCATATGTATTGTTGAAATTTCAATTTCACTTAAAAAACCCAACTTTTGTATCAGCACATACATGTGCTTGCATGCATGTGTATCACCACATATTATAATAGAAACTATAGTTGCAATACCTTTCCCTCAGAAGCTTGATTACCAATTTCCTCATTTTCCTCCTGCAAGGTTCTCCATTTTGCCATGAGCATCTTCTCCATCTTACTTTGTGGAGTAAAATTAACGGCAGCAATGTTATCCTACAATTCTTTCACCTTCTTGTCCTTCTCCTCAACCAAATTCTAGATTATTCCCGTGTAAAAAGAAAAATTAAAAATAAAGAACTGGGAAGGAAGATTGGAGTTGAAATAAGGAACAATGAGTAGGAAATTGTGAAAGTGGTGCATCAATTCAAAGATAGGGATGAAGCTAGTGGATCTCACAACTGAGAAGGCTTGGCTTTAGGTTTGTGGGTTTGTTGTTAAGCATGAAGATTATTTCCTATAATGTTAGGGGCTTGAACGTGTGTTGAAGAAAAAAGATGTGGGGAGTTTGGTATTAAAAGAGAAGGTCGACATGGTGTTTTTACAAGAAACGAAATTGAAGGGGGCTCAATATATGGATCGTCGGGCAATTTGGGGTGAAGATGATTTTGATTGGGAGGCAAAGCAAGCAATAGGCAAATCAGGGGGCTGCTATGTGTGTGGCACAAAGTTGCATTTGTAAAAGAGTCTACTGTTTTGTGTGAAAGGGCTCTGGGGACCAAATAAAATCTCTTGTTCATTCATCAATGTTTATGTCCCATGCAACTTGCAAGAGAAGCTGCAAATATGGAATGAGTTGAAAGGTGTAATATCAACCACTAGGGGCTGAATATGTGTAGTAGGTGACTTCAATGTAGTCTTGAATTCAAGCAAGAGGGTGGGGAGGTTAGATTGTTCAAGAGAAATAATAGCCTTTAACAAGTTTTACTAGATGCAGGTTTGGTTGATTTACAATTGATTAGGAGAAAATTTACGTGCTACAAACGTGATGGGTCTGCCATGAGTACACTTGATAGATTTTTGGTGAATTCTAAATTCTTGGATCAATGGAATGATTGTTGCCAGGTGAGCCTTCAAAGATTAGTTTCATATCATTTTCCAGTGATGTTTAAAACAATTAATATGGATTGGGGGCCTTAGCATTTTCGATCTCTAAATGGATGGCTTGAATTTTTTGGATTTAAAGAAGTCATTAAGGAGCAATGGGAGACAACGGGTAGGGAAGGGTGGGGAGGCTTTAAATGTAAGGAAAAATCTAAGAAGTTGAAATCCTTTCTCAAGAACTAGAACAGAGGGGTGTTTGGTAGTATAGACAAACAAATATAGGAAGTAAAGGTAAATAGACATGATCGATTTGAAAGGAGAGGATTAAGAGCTAGATGATTTTGAGGTGCTAGCAAGGAGGGAGGGAGTGATTGAGTTATGGTGAGCTTTGAGGAAAAAAGAATGCTTATGGAGACTGAAATTGAGAGCTAATTGGGTAAAGCCAGGAAATGCAAATACAAAATTTTTTTCATAGATATACAACTTTCAAGACGAAAAGAAATGTTATTCAAGGCTTTGGAAAGATGGCACATAGGAGGATGATCCGAAGGTGGTGAAGAAGGAAATATTGGATCACTTCCAGAGATAATTTTCAAAAGAGAAATGGAGGAGGCCCATTCTAGGCAATCTAATTTCAAGAAATTTCTCCCATGGATAAAGAAAGATTGGAGGTAGAGTGGACAATTCAAGAAGTGAGGGTAGCTGTGGCTGAATGCTGCAGTAAAAACTCCCCAGGACTTGACGGGTTCAATTTCAAATTCATCAAATTTGCTTCGGAGATTATAAAGGAGGAAAATGCAGTTTATGCAGGAGTTTCATAAAAATGGTAAGTTGGTGAAAGGCATCAATTCCAGCTTATTGTTTTTATCCCAAAGGTGGAAAATCCAACGGAGCTAAAAGATTTTCGGCCCATTAGCCTTATTAGCAGCATTTATAAGATATTGGCTAAGGTTTTAGCAAGTAAATTAAAATCTATTCTGCACAATTTGATTAGTGAGAATCAATCAGTTTTTGTCGGGGGAGGCAAATTGTTGATGGCAGTCTTATTCTGAATAAGATTGTGAAGGAGACCAGGAGGAAGAAGCAAGACAAGTTTATCCTTAAAGCAGGCTTTGAGAAAGCATATGATTGTGTGAATTGAGATTTCTTGAATGATATGATGGAGAAGAGTGGTTTTGAGGATAGATGGAGGAAGTGGATAATGGAGTGCATTTCAATTGCAGCAATCTCTGTATTAGTTAATGGAAGTCCTACAAAGAAGTTTAGACTAGAGAGAGGATTAAGATAGGGTGACCCACTTTCACCCTTTTTCTTTTTGCTGCTGATACAAGGATTACACTATTTGATTGCCAAAGCTGTTGAGTCGGGTTTGCTTAAGGGTATGCACGTTGGGAATGGTAACTTAGCTATTTCACACCTCCAATTTCCTGATGACACAGTGATTCATTGCAAGACTAAATTGGATCATGTATGGATAGTGAAAGGGATTCTAAGGTGGTTTGAGTTGACGTCTGGACTGAAAATTAATTTTAAAAAAAGTAGCATCTTTGGGGTGCATATGTTGAACAAGGTCGTAAAAGGCAGCAGCTTTTTTGAATGTAAGAAGGGCATTCCTTTTTAAGTATCTCGATATGCTTGTGGGTGATGATCCTAGAAAAAGGAAGATGTGGATGCCGATTGTAGAAAAGTTTCAGAAAAGACTATCAGGATGGCAATCGAGATCCCTATCTTTCGGTGGCCGGCTTACCCTTTTGAAATCAGTCCTTTCTTCTCTTCCTTTGTATTATTTTTCTATCTTTAAAGTCGCAGCTGGATGGTCAAATAACAAATAAACCAAGGGCTTGCTTGCTGACATTAGAAATTGGGCCTAAAGATCATTTTGGGGCAGGGTATGTCGGACCATTGACGGGGCTATTTATAGACTGGGGGGGTCGTGGCCCCCCCTGGCCTTTTGAAAAACTTTAAAATTAGTCCACAAAATTTTTATGTTATGATTTAATCCTTAATTGTTATTTTATATATTTTATTATCTTAATTTTTTTAAAAATAACTACCATTAGTTTTTTTTATAATATTTGTTCTTACATTTATAATTGAATATTAAACATGACAATTAGTGAATCTTGAAGATGATTCATTAAATATTACTCCCCAGGCCTCAAAATAACTGATGTTTTAATGGTTCTTTTTATTTTTTTAAGGGAGAATAATATATTTTCTTTAAGTCTATTATTATCACATAAATTATAATTTTTTAAATAATTAATTATAGTGTTTAGAAACATCATTTATAAACTAATTTTAATTTATTAAATAATAAATATTAATTATTAACAAGTAAAAATATTCTTAACAATTAAATCAGTCAAACCTAATAATTTTGAAGACAGAATTAGAAAAAAAAAAAAAAATAGTGTAGCCCTGACGTTTTCTCGAGTGGCGGTAACCGTGCCCATTGTTGTACTTTTACAGACCAACGTGACCTTTTTCACCAATTTGTCTTCAGTTGCAGAAAGCTTCACTCCTAGATACCCTACATTTTTATGATTGTTAATCACCTACCTCAACCATAAATTAGTTCTGTAATTACAAAATTCACCCGATGCATTGTCTTCTAAAGACATAACATAGAAGGCTAAAGGACAAAAAGGAATTGGGAAGGCAAGAAAACACAATGCCCTTCACCACAGAAGGGATCGGTTAACCTCAACCTGGTACACTCAAGTTTTCTCAGGAGCTTGGACCCGGATTAACAAAAGTTTCTTTAACTAATGTTAAAGAAAAAAAGAAATGAAGAAACATTATTAATGTACAATGTACAATGTATAATATGAGGGAATTCAACAAATGAAAAACGATGTCCTACAAAATCGTTAATCTTCTTGCTCCTTTCTGTCTTCAATGGATTCTGTCACGTCTTCTTTAACCTTATTGTTGGAGGATAAATCTGTTTTATCCTCCTTTTCCATCGGTGTTGTCTGCTTCAGCTTTTGGAGCTCATTATCTTTTTCTTCCAGCTTCTCTTGCAGTAGTAGTGCCTGCAACAACAAATCCTCTAATTATAAAAATATCGTAATCATACCATTAGCTAAGGAATTGTTGGCACTCGGAACCATGGTTTTAAAACCCGGCCCGGCCCGGCCGGTTGAACCGGTTGAACCGGACCCGGACTTAAAAACGGGCCGGTTTCATGCACTGGCCCGTTTTGCAAATTGGCCCGTGTTAGCCCGCCAGACTCGTTGGACCCGCTCCAAATGCCCAGCCCGTCCCACCCGCCGGGCAGAATAATTGATGCGTTGATTAACCCTTTTTTTTTATGTAATTTACTTATTTTACTTTTTTTTAATGATATTATATTTAAAAATCTTAAATTTAAACTAAAATTAAATTTAAAAAACCCAATCAAAAGTAACATTTTGTAAAAACACATGGAAAAAATAGAATTAGAAAGTAGAAGAAACACATCATCCACCGGCCATCCCTCTCCCTCATCCCTGCTCCATCTCCGTGCCATGACTCCATCGGCATCTCACCACACCAATCACCGCCTCATCACCTCCGACAAAGCAACCTGATCTCTGCACCACTTCCGTCAAGATCTCACCACCAGTCACCGCCTCATCTAGTCATCTTCACCGCTGAACAGAAGCAACTAAGCAACCCGATTTCCCTGCACCTTCGTCGGCAGCTCACCATTGCTCCACTTCCGTTGACAGCTCCTAATAAAGCTCACAGCCCCACTACTCATCTTCCTCTCCTTCACCGGACCAAACAGAAGCAACAAAGCATAACAAATCGTCCCTGATTTTGCCCAGATCTCGGCAGCTCCGCCACTCATCTTCCTCTCCTTCACCGGATCAAACAGAAGCGACAAAGCATAACAAATCGTCCCTGATTTTGCTCAGATCTCGACAGCTCCGCCACTCATCTTGCCCTCCTTCACCAGACCAAACTGATTTTGCCCCCTTTCATTACTGAACAGAAGCCGCAGAAAATGTGAAAAAATGTAAAAAAAAAAATGTCTTTAGTCAACCGGTTGAACCGGTCGGGTGAACCGATTTAACCGGTTGAACCAGACCCGCTGGCCAAAACGGGTCAACCACCGGGCCGGGTTCAAAAACATTGCTCGGAACACATTTGATTCCAGACCGCTTCTACAGAGATACTGATGCAATGTATCAGAGCCATGTAGCAATATATTCTGTTTCACTACTAAAGACACCAGATAAAGAATTATCACAAAGTACAATTAGCAGTGTGGTACAGATATAATTGCATAGCTGTTTCAACTAAATGGTAGATAAAATTCAAGATCGTCCTTTGGCTTATTAGCATTTGCAATGACACAGTAGTTAAACAAATCAACTACAAGGAAATCGGTTTCTAGAGGTACAACAATACAAGACTGATAGTTAATTGGGATGTAGCATTCAAAATGGCTGTTGAGGCTATTAATTTTAAAGGGCAATTTATGACAGCATAGGTAATTGGGATGTAGTATTCGCAATGGCTGTTGAAGCTACTATTTTTAAAGGGCAACTCATAAGAGCATAACCTAATATTGCAGCCACGCAGAATACCAAAAGCGCCAAATCATGCGCCCAAGATCAAAGGGCTCTATTTTCATTTATGTTCCAGCTTAACAAATAAATAAATAAATACTGAGACTGAGAGGGAGTGAAAAGAAGAGAGAAACCGTTTCATTTGATCTTTCGAGATCATTTGCCAATCCCTCCATTTTTTTGTATAATGCTGCAGAAAAATAACACAAAAAGATTAGAATTGTATAAATGAAATGAGAGATCTTCAAACCATGTACAATTTGAAATTAAAATACTGCAAAAGGACTTGTTCTAATTGACACTTGACACAGATGGCAAACTTGCTCAAGGATGCCCTTAATTATATGGTTGGACATTTAGTGCCCATGAGAAATGCTACTTGGTCCTCCCATCATAAATACAATAAAGATAACTCATAAATTCTGGATAAATATCTGATAATGAATGGAAAACTTGTTAACAACTTCGAATGGAATTTTCTCACCCTCACCCTCACCCTCACCCTCACCCTCAACCACAAACACTTCATTAGAAATTCCCTTCACCTCCCCACTAAAAATGCATAAATACTACTTGCTGAACAACAACATTAAGATGAGGTTTGTGAAACCAGAAATAACGATGCAACATAAGACCAACCTTCAAATTGACCCCTTAGTTCTGCATTTTGTGACTTCTGTAAAGCAAGTCTCATAGCTAATTCATGCATCTGCAGATTAGCAAACAGTTCAAGAAAAGAATATATCAGCAACTTCCACATGATGTTTAAGAGTCTTGTATAATGTTTGAAAGAGTCAGTACAAGAAAGCAGAAATGATTTTAAAACTTTCATCCAGTCATGGATATTTTTTATTTACACTCTCATCCAACCCAACTGACAGTCCCAACATGGTAAAGTAATACTCAGCCGTAAAAGATATGTCTAATCTATTTCTCAGATTTAGGATGCCAAAAGTCCACCGTCAAATATTCAGATCACATGTGCTGTTGACATTTCAAGTTTTACATAAAAAACCCAAACTTTTATGTCAGCACATACATGTGCTTGCTTGCATACGTATCACTACAGATAATAATAGAAAATATAGTTGCAATACCTTTCCCTCAGAAGCTTGATTACCAATTTCCTCATTTTCCTCCTGCAAGGTTCTACATTTTGCCATGAGCATCTTCCCCATCTTGCTTTGTGGAGTAAAATTAACAGCAGAAATATTATCCTGCAGTTCTTTCACCTTCTTGTCCTTCTCCTCAACTAAATTCTAGATTAATCCCATGTAAAAAGAAAAATTGAAAATAAACAACTAATTTATAGGCAAGGTTAATAAAAGGACAGGTCAAACTAAAACATTCAACCTAAATTAAATGCTGATTCTCAATTTATTATCTTAGAAGTTAGATTCATAATTCCCAAAATTGTAAAACACACCATTCACCCCCCTCCACCCCTCAAAACAATAATAATAATAATTGATTAAATTAAGGAAAGATCCAAGATGGAGTTCATGCCCAAACCTTCAAACGTGTAAATTCTTCATGGATTGCTGGATCCAGCAGTAGCCTTCTGGCCTGTCAAGTTAAACACACCTTAAAAATTGAGCTTCCTAAAAGACACATACATCTATATTTAATATATGAGAGAGTTAGTGTAACTTGACTCACAAATCAAGTATTTAAAGTTGGAGAATAAGAACTCTCCTAAGCTCTTGATGGAACTTACAAGATGCATGATTATTTAGTGTACTCATAGGTTGATCATAGACTAAAGAACTCAACAAGAGAGCTGTTTAGTTTTAAAGCATATTTAGCTATTGTCAGGACATAGCAGCAATAAGTTATCAATAAGATGAAACTTCCATTTGAAATACAGGAAGAAAATATATAGTGAAATTTATATTTAAGGACAGAACCACTTTAATCAGACTCAAGAAAAGATTACCCTGGCACAATTTTTTTTTTCTTCTTAAAAAAAGGCCATTGGTACCACTACTCATATGGCTTCTATTAATGTTAAATTTCTTCAAATATACAGTTATTTATTACATACAATCTATGACTTGCCAGATCCACATGAGATAAATAACATGCTAGAACCATCTAGACTTTAACATCGAAAACTAATTCTACCAAGGTATTATCATTCAGAATACCTGCATTGATGGTGGCTTTAGTTGTGCTTTCAAGTCACGAACTGCAGACTGGAAATGAACAAGATTTGGTCTTAGAGATGATGATGTTGGATGATTAAAGCAATCAATGTAGTCAGTAAACAAGGCATTATCCATAACCCTTTCTAAGAATGAATAAGTGCATAAGATTCACTAATATCATATCAAATAAAGAGAAAATGAAGGTGCAATTGAAAATTCTAACTTTGCTTTACATTACAAAACCTATCTGAGTGGGCGACTACATCCTATGCCTCCGACCAAAACCATACAGATCACTTGGTGCAATCTCATCCTTCCCATACCCACGTTTTAAAGTAAGCTTAAATTAAATTAGAGTATTATCTGAGAATATGAGCGCTTTCTCAACAGCATGAGTTTTTAAGACTCAAGTCGATATAGTTGTTAATGAGGTAATGCTAAAACTGGGGATATAAAGTTTAATATTGGTTGAACAGTTCAAGGAACTAAGGAAGTGAGATCAAATTCCACTCCCACCTTATTTTTCCAGAACAATTATGATTTTTGGGGAGATGGAATCAAAACCAGCCCATGGGGGGTGAACCTACCAACTGGCCTATGAGACCAGGTGCAATGCCAATCCACTTGGAAAGGAAGCTAGCTAGAAAGAAATATTTCTCAAATCTGAAGAACTACTAAAGGTGCATAGCTAACAACAGTAAATTTTAACAACCCTGCAACTTCCTCAAGGAACCAACAGAAGTTTCATAGGGTTGTCATTTGAGTAGACCTACCCCATTGATCAATTTATGCTCATAAAGACAAAAGAAAGATTAAGCACTTCAGCAAGAAAAATAATTGGACTATAATACCTCACAAGATACATTTTTTTATGCTCCTTTCAAGTTATTTACTTAATTGCTAAAGCAAATTAATATTCTTTTTTGCTCATGCTTTCAGAAGAAATCTTTTCCTTCAAATTTTTTCATCTGATTAAATATTGTTTTCAGCAGAAAATAAGGTTCACTTGACTTCTCTTACATATTCCCACCAAAAAGAATATGAGATGACATATCTCTCAAGTAAATATTTCTCACCTTCAGCTCTGCTATTTCTTGTTCACGTTTTGCAAATGTAACAATGAATGCAGCTTCCTTTTTCTTTGCTTTCTCCAGCTGAAAATAAGAATAAAGCTGGATGAAATCCTGCAGCAAAGATAGTGCGGAAAAGGCAACATTAAACCTGCTTATGTCTAAAAAATCTCTAACCTGTTCTTTCAATGACTCCTCCGAAGATTTCAGAGTTTGAAGAAAATCAATAACCAATTTGGGTTCTACAAAGAATAGTAGATATTAATTGCTCTGTAAGAAAAGGACAGATCATAAATGCATGCTGAAAACGGTACCCAATACAATTCATGTCTGAATATACATGATAAAATATGAAACAAAGCAAAGTAAAGACTAACCAGGAGTTCTCCCAGGTGGTATGAAGGGTAAATTTTGAAATGAAGAATGCCATATCTGAATCTCAGATTTTGTAGCTTCAAGCCCCATCTAGATAACATAACCATATAATTCAATAATAAGGTTTTGCAAGTTCAGTAGAAAAAGAAAAACCAAGGATAAATACAGAACTTAAACCATAGTTGTTTTAGAAGCTCAAGCTGGTAAAACCAAATTCTTGAACCAAAATTGAAAGAGATAAAGGTTGGGCAAAACAAAGACAAAATGGTAAAGCACCCACAAATATCTCCCATGGAGGAAAACCAAATAAGTTGTTTGAACAAGATAACTGATAATTGAGACAAATCCTTCAAATACCACTATACAACAATATTCTGTGTGAAAACTTTTCCATTACTTTCTGAATCATAGTTCTTACTTGTTATCCTTAAAATCAGAGTCTATGTCTTAACAGAAAGGTCTTATAAAAAAATTATAAAAAAAAAAAAAAGTGCCATTGCACTACTTGCGTAAGTTGATCCCAACTCTTGCACCATATATAGATATCAAAGAGCAATAAAAACAGACTGAAAAACTAAATAGATGACTACATACCTGACAGGTCATAAGTTCATCCTTGCAGCTCTGGAGACTGCCAAAAGGGAAAAAAGAAAATCCCAGTAGAAGTAATACATAAGTCTCCCATAAAATTGAAACGAAACAGGCATGATCACAATAAGCAAGCAGGCCATATATCATTAAAAATACCTGCCACGGAGAGTCAAAATCGTCACTGTTGCACCACCAGGAGCAGTTTCTTCCATTTTAGAGTTACCCTGCAAAATGGACAAAGGAAATCTTCTCTCTTCAGATATAAAGACTTCAAATTCACAAAGGAAGCTAATCATGGAACAAAAGAACTCTGAATTTGAAGCCACATTACACATGAAACTTAAAGACCACAGAACAAACATTGTAACTTGATTCATGATAAGAACTCTCCAATCTGAGCAAGAACCTAAAACAAACAAACGACGCTAAAAAAAGAACCTTTTTCAAACAGAAAACAGTATTGCTATTGATCCCACAAAGACAATTCAAACTAGTTTAAGTAATAGTTAGTCATGTATTTGCATAGATTCAACATGAAATATGTACAAAATGAGACATGACTCATATGATGATTGGAGAGGATATAACAAACTTTGAGAAAAACACAAAACCATAATGTGTCCCTTTTTAAGTTAGTTGCAAAACATAATTACAAAATAGTTAAATAAAAATACCCTTTTGGAGCCAAAAATATCGTCCTCATCATCCTCAAAACTTCTTTTACCATCTGAATAATTATCAAAAGTAAATAAACATTAAAAACCTTTAAAAAAAAATACTATGATTGAATGAGTGTTTGGTTGCAGAGAAAGCAAAAAAATCAACCCGAACCCCTGCCAGTGCCAGTGCCACTCCTACTCCCGGGAAAATCGCCGCCGAAATCATCCTCCTGCGTTTCAAAACGTCGCAGAAGGCCTAAGATTATACCGAAAAACAAAAGAAGTGTA